CACCCATGCCTTGTTACTTGCGTGGCTCCATTTTCATATTTAGCATTTAGATCTCTGACCCATTTGATGTTTACTCTTGTGTATGGGGTGAAAATGCTTCATTTTAATCTTTTTTCCAAATGGCTATCCAGTTGCCCGGCACCATTTATTTAAAAAAATCTACTTTTCCCCGGGACTTAAGATGCCTCCTCTGCAGTGGGCCCAGTTCATTCTGGCTCACAGGAGCTTATTGTACGTATTTCTTCCCAACTCTGTGTTCTGTGACCTCACAGAGGTGTTGTGTGATTGGCTGTGATGGGACGATTTACCTGCCAGCTAGGGCCCGGCCCCCTCTGAGCGCTGGCCGTTGTACGTTTAGCCGCAAACCACCGCCCTTTGTCGTATCTTAAATTCCCACGTGCAGTTGGGTCTGTTCTGGACCGTCGTTCTCCTCCGCCACCCCGTCTGGTCATGTGCAGGCCATTCTGTTGTAGCTGTTACAGCATTAAGTATGTTTTCATGCGTCATAAGTCTAGCCCCTCCTCAGACTTCTATTTATTTTCTACTTAATTATTTATATTAAATTATTTTTTATTGTGGTAAAACAGACATCAGATTGACCATTTTATCCATTTTTAAGTGTCCAGCTCAGTAGCATTAGGTATGATCACACTGTTGTGCCACCGTCACCTCCATCTGTCTCCGGGACTCTTTCCTCGTCCCAAACTGAAACTCTGTCCCCGTTAAACACTCACACACCACCCCCCGAATCCTTCACGGCTCTTCGTTTTCAACTTTTTTCTAGATATTCTTGCATGTTTAATTTTTCCTATGAAAAATTTGTTGGTATTCTTGTTTCGATTGTGTTTTGCGTTGTTAGTGCCATTGAGTTGATTCCAGCTCCCAGCGACCACGTGGACAGCAGAGCGGCTCCCCGCCGGTCTGTTTGCACTGTGCTCTCCCCTTCCGGCCCACATCACACAACGCTCCGCAGCTCTTCACAGGGTGGTTTCACCGACAATTTTTTTGGAAGTGGGTGGCCAGGTTTTTCTTCCTGGTCTGTCTGGTCTGGAAGCTCCACTGAAACCTGGCCACCATGGGCGACCCTACTCGTATTTGAAATACTGGTGTATTGTGTTAAATTCATAATATTACCTTAGGGAACAGACCTCTGAGGATGTTGGGTCACCCTAGCTAAGAACACGGCACACCTTTCTGTCTGTTCAAGCCCACTTTCGTGTCTTTCAAGAACATTTAAAACTTTTCCTGAAATAGGTTTTGCACATTGCATACGGGTTAATATTTAAATGAGATTTTCTTTAGTATTCTATTTTCTGATTATTGGTTGTGCACACGGAGGCTATTGGTCCCTGTACGTTAATTTCATATACTGCTATCTTAATAAATTCTTCTGTTATTTGAGTTATTTTACCACTGAATCTCTGTGTACACTTTGTATCATCAGATGTGGAGATTGCTTCACTTCAGCTTTTTTCATGCCTCTGATTGGTTTTTCTTGTGTAATTTCACTGGCTCCTGCCTGCAGTACAGTGATGAACAGTAGAGGAGACGGTGCACATCCTTACATTGTTCCCAATTTTGGTAAACATTCTTCTAGTGTTTCCTTGTTAAATAAGAGGATGGTTTTAGGATTAAGGTGTATACATATTTTATCATATTAAAGAAGCATCTACAATTTCTCTTTTCTAGACTGGGGAGTGGGAGTCAAAAGAATACAGGGGGAAAGTGTAAGAGCCTTCAAGACCAAAGAACCAAACTTCACACACACACACAAACACACGTACACACACACACACACACAGCTACCCCAAAATGCCATCCTTAAAGAAGCTTTTCTGCACTCACATTCGTGGATGCATATGGATTAGGAGTCTCACAAGCCACTCGAACTGCCAATGAATGCACTAAGCCAGCCTTTATACTTAACAAAAGAAGAATAAAAACATTTCATCTAACGGAAATCCCCCATGAGAGGTGAGAAAAACAAGAAAACTGTAACACAACCCTCCAAACTGAATGAAATATACGAAAACAAGCCGTGTAGGATATTACAAGAACATCTTTTTTTTTTTTTAAAGACTGTCACCTGAGCTAACAACTGTTGCCAATCTTCTTCTTCTTTTGTTTTTTTCTGCTTTTTCTCCCAAATCCCCCCAGTACATAGTTGCATATTTTAGTTGTGGGTCCTTCTAGTTGTGGCATGTGGGACGCCGCCTCAGCGTGGCCTGATGAGTGGTGCCATGTCTGCGCCCAGGATCTGAACCAGTGAAACCCTGTGCCACCAAAGCAGAGTGTGCAAACTTAACCACATGGCCCACTCTTCTCTCCCAGACACGAGGTCTCCCTGAAGCACCCGCCTGAGCCCCTCACTCTCCTCTGGTCCCGTCCCGCCAGCAGCTCTCCATTCTGTCAGGACCGTTTTTCGGAGTTCTGCGGTCAGAGCCAACTTTCTTCTCCTCTGGCTTATTTTAGCTCGGTCTTCGGTCTTCTCGTCCCATCTTCCGCCTTCTCTCCAGGTGTTGCATGCCTCCCTACTTCTCCAGGAAGTCTTGAGACAGAAGCTCCAGAGAGATCTCGGGGGGACGTTTGTGTTTATTTTTTGCTTACAGATAATGTGAGGTTTCTACTATTTTCCAGGATTTCTGTGGTTGTGTTCTTCCTCTCTTAGAGCTGCCTGGTTTTGGAGGAAAGTGCAGAGGGTCAGTTTTAATCTCCACCATTATCTTGGGTGACACAGACGGCCTTTACACCACTTTTTTATAATTTCCAGCTACATTATGAAAATTATGAAAATGCAATACAGTTTCAAATGTGCCTCTCAGCTTGTTAAGCTGAGCAATCATAGCTGTTTTTATAGTCTGTGCTATGCTCTGAGTGTTTGTGTCCCCCACCCCCAAATTCATGTTGACTGCCTAGTCCCTGTGTGCTGGAATTGGGAAGTGCGCATTTGGAGAGGTGATGAGGTCACGAGGGTGGGGCCCTTATGCATGGGATTAGTGCCCTTATAAAAGAGACCACGCACAGCTCCCTCACCCCTTCCCCCATGTGAGGGCAACTCTAGAAGTCTGCAGCCCAGAAGAGAGCCCTCACTCAACATGCTGGCACCCTGACCTCAAATTCCAGCCTCCGGAACTATGAGAAATAAATGTCTGCTGTTCAGAAACCACCCAGTCTGTGTTTTTCTTTTTATTGTACCAACCCAGACAGACTCAGACCGTCTGCCTGATTTTTCCAACACAGGAAGCATTCATGGGTCTGCTTCTATTGTCTGTTTTTTGTGCTGCTTCTCACTCGTGTTGTCTTAGTCTCCTCAAGTGTTTTGTCAGGAGACTACTTAAAAAAACAATGAACAGCGGGCCCGGCCCCATGGCCGAGCAGTTCAAGTTCTGCGTGCTGCACTCTGGCGGCCCAGCGTTCTCTGGTTCGGATCCAGGGAGCAGACCTGCTCCACTCATCAGCCGTGCTGTGGAGGCGTCCCACATGCAAAAGAGACGAAGGTCGGCACAGATGTTAGCTCAGGGCCAAACTGCCTCACCAGAAGACAAATAATAATAATGAACAGGATTAATTTGGAGATCAAGATGATGCTATTGTCTTCCTATTTTCATTTTCTTCCGTCAGGCATCTGGGAGGCTGGCAGTCGGGGACCATGCTGATCCAAGTTCAAGGCCTGGGACGTTCTGGGCCCCAAGGAGGCGGAGAGCTTAGCTGCAAGTCTGTGCACCTTCACCTAGAGGATTAACTCCCAAGCAGGGGCCGGAGTGGCGGCTTGTCAGAGGTCTCTCCTTGGAAACCCCTGGCAGGACAAATCTTTCCTCCACCTTCCAAATCTTGCCTGTTCTTGTCTCAACGTAACCCCGAGAAGCCAACCAGCAAAGCGGTCTGGGAAGCGTAGTTTGCAGATTCCACTGCCCCCACCCCCAGTGAAGGACCCTCTAGCCACTTCCCCTTGGGATGTGGGGGCTCAGACAGATCCTGTTCAGCCCTCCGCCTTCTGCTCCCAGGCAGGGGCTCCGATGACCCAGGGGCAGGAAGCCCAGGCCCACACAGAGAGCTCCCACAGAGCCTTCAGGGATGTGAAGGCCCCATGGGGCCCAGCCAGGGCCATGGAGAGCAGAGGCGGGAGGTGGCAGGGCCGAGCTGGCCAGAGGGTGGGCAGGTCTGGATGGGCGGAGAGGAGGGGTGGAAGGAACAGGACATCCTGGGCTGAGGTGCTGGCTGTGCATGGGGACAGGAGGCCAAGGACAGCAGAGCAGAAGGGTGAGTGGGCTAGGAGTGGGTAGGAGCTTTTAAAAAAAAATTAGGGGGGACTTTCTGTATTTTTAGTGATTGAAACAAAAGATATCCAAAACCACAGCTTCAGGAAGAACTACTTGTTCTTGCATCTCTCCTTCGACTTGACCTTGGCCTGCTGCCGGCCTGGGTTTAAGAGCAAGGTCTCTGGCCTTCCCAGACTGAGTGAGGGACAGTGTTGGACCCCCAGCGAGGGGAGGAGAGGAGGCAATGCACCAGAATTAGGGTGCTCATTCTGGAACCTTTCAAGTGAAAGGAAGTATAGAGAAGCAGGGCTCAGCACAGCAGTGTTGACTTAGAAGGGGCTCGGCGCACACTCCCAAGGGGCCCACGCCCTGCTCTCCCGGTGCCTGGGCAGGGCACAGAGGCCACCGCTGAGCAATAATACCCCCTTTCCCTTGGGTAATTCCGCCACCCTGCAAGAAGAGCCAGAATGGTGTCCTGGTGGTTAGTGGCCGCCCACAGTGAGGCAGTCAGAGCCATATAAACGGGTCTCCAGGGGCTGGAGGGACCTCACGCCCCCAGGCCCTGAGGTGTGGACTGACCTCTGGGAGGATGAGAGGTGTGCTCCTGGCTGCTCTCCTGGCTCTGCTCTCAGTGCCCCAGGCCCGGGCACTGTGGCTGGGGAGGCTCAACCCTAACCAGGTGACAGTCCTCCTGGGGGTGCCAGCACCTGCCTTGGGGCTCATCGGTCCTAGGCCAGGCCCCACCCGTGGGGCCACACAGCCTCTGGGCTCCCCACAGGACCAGCCCAGACTGATGTGGGCTTCAGGGGTATGCGCTGACCTGTGCAAGGGGACCCTGGGCTCCCAAGTAAAGGGGTGCCTCCAAGGGCTGGAGAGACTGCTCCCCTCTCACCTGCCATCTTCCATCCAGCTCCTGGGGTCCTGGTACGTGCTTGCCAAGGCCTCCGGGGAAAAGGACTTTGCGGTGGAGAAGGCCACGAAGAACATCGAGGGGGTCGTGGTGACCCTCACTCCAGAAAACAACCTGAAAATGCTGTCCTCCCGGCACAGGTGAGCCTGGCCTGCCGTCGCAGATTGCTCGGCCTGAGTCCAGCTGGCCCAGGCTCAGAGCCCGCTTAAGCCCCACACGTGTGCTCCCGGGCACCACACCCCCGGCCTACCCTGCCCACCTTGCTGGCTCTGCTCTGAGCCCCACCCTCTGTCTGCATCCCTGGACGCTGGCCCTGGCGGGCCTCTGGGGAGGACTCACACCGTTGCCTCTGGGGCCCGCACAGCCTCTGACCACCCTGCCTGCTGCTTCCAGGCCCTTGGTCAGCTCGGGGGGCTCCGGTCAGAGCGGGAGAGGCCTCTTCTGTGTGCGAGCCCTAAGAGCCGCTGGTTCTTTCAGAAAATGAATCATCTGGAGGATATGGTCACTAGGGTGGTTTTGTCAGACTAGACTTGTGGTGTCAGGCGAGCCTCAGCGGGCCCTGACCGCTGGAGCAGACCCTGCACATGGCTGGCGGTGTGTTGGGGGGTGGTTTCTGGGAGGCGTGGGTGGATGGGCGGCCCAAGGGGGCTATGCTGCCGGGAAGCTGTGATCCCTGGGAGCCCCTGGGGGGGCCAGGCTGGGGGCAAACCACGCTGGGGGAGGTGTCATCCTCATCACCCACGCTTCCCATGGAGAAGACCAAGCCCATCTCATGCTGGCGGGTGGCATAGCGGGCCTTTCTGTCCTGGCAGCCGGGCTTCACAGCGCCACCTGGACAGACACAGTCCTGGGGGAGACCCTTCTCTCCTGCTCCCTGGGATGCCCTGCCCTGTGGACTGGAGTCTGCCTTCGGGAGACTGAGGCCCCGTCCACCTGGGCCAGGCCTGGCTGTGGGACAAGCAAGGACAGAGGTCATGTGTTGGCTCTGCTGTGAACATGGGGTCACATGTGCCGTGGGCATTAGGCCCCAAAGCCACGTGGGCGGGCAAGTCCCAAAGAGACTGGTGGAATAAAACCTCCAAAGATGGGAACTTGGCATCTGGAGAGCCCCAGGCCCCGTGGAAAAGCCGTGGATGAAATGAGAACCACGGCGGTTGCCAGGACTCTCCAATACCATTTCTGGCGTTGGCTTATCGCTGCGACTGGTCAGCGGCCTCGCTCCCTGCTGTTGTCAACGCACGTCTGTCTAAGGCCCCTGGCCTAATCCTGAGGTGGTGACACAGGTTGTGTGGATCCTACGGGCAGGACACGCTCAGGGCTTGTAGGAGAGAAAGTGGGCCTCTTGCTCTTGTTATTTCATTTCCGTTTCATCTGTTGGCCTTTGAACAGGACATACATTTGCATGGTCCAAAAATCTAAAGTTCTCAAGGGTCTTTTGTGTGCCCTCCTCCCCTGCCCCGGGCAGCCAGCGCCCTCCCCGAGGGTCGCCCGCGTTTGGGATTCGTGGCGGCTCTTCAGAGACGCTCAGGCCCACGCAGCACACACGTGTCATCTAACACACCTGCTGGAGACCGTTCCCTATCAGTCCACAGAATCTCTGCTCTCTTTTAAAATATTTTTTATTTTATTTCATTTTGACCTTATTAGAGTTTTAAAAATTGTAATAAAATAAACGTAAGATTCACCATCTTAGCCACTTTCAAGTGCACAGCTCAGTGGCATTAAGCATGTTCTCCTTGTCGTGCAGCCGCCCCCGCCATCGTCTCCAGGACTTTCTCATCTTCTCAGACTGAAGCTCTGTCCTCACTGAACACTCACCCCGTCCCCTCCCCTCCCCCAGCCCCAGGGCCCCGCTTCCTGTCTCTGTGGGTCTGTCTCCTCTGGGGCCCTCACACAAGCGGAGTCCTACAGGATTTGTTTTTTTGTGTCTGGCTTGTTTCGCTCAGCATCATGTCTTCCCAGTTCATCCATGTTGCAGCACGCGTCAGGATTTCCTTCCTTTCTAAGGCTGAATAGTATTCCTTTGTGTGGATGGACCACAGCTTGTTTATCCACTCACCTGTTGATGGACACTTGGGTTGCTTCCACCTTTTGGCTACTGTGAAAAATGCTGCAGTGAACATGGGTGTGCAAGTATCTCTTCAAGACCTGTTCTCAGTTCTTTTGGGTCGATCCCCAGGAGCGTGATTGCTGGGTCTTTGGTGACTCTATGTTACAGTTTTTGAGGAACTCTGTTCTGTTTTACAGCTGCGTAATACTCCACCAGGCTGTCTTCCTGTGCTCTGTTGATGGACAGACAGTGGTGGCTAATTCTTTGCAATTGGGGAGTGGGCCTGGTGAATTCACCTCTGAGGGCTCTACCTGAAGGATAAATCCCTCGGAACCAAGGTCTGTCTGTGCTGCTGGTGACATGGCTCCAAGTCACACACAGCCGGTCCCTTAACTGGTGCCTGCACCAGGCGATCACTGACTCTTTCTTCTTTGCCATCTGGTGGGCGACAAATGGCCCCATACTGGTGGTGGTGTGCCTTTCTCTAATCGCAGAGCACAGGACATCTTGGTTTATGTTAACGAGCCTTTTGTGCTCTCTTCCCAGAAAACTGTCTGTATCTTTTGCACATTTTTCTCTCGGGCGTGTTTAGCTGGTTTGTGAGAACCCTTACGTATCAGAGACATTAGCCACTTGTCTGTGACAAAAATTAGTTACAAACGCATTTCCCAGTCTGTCATTTTTCTTACAACACTTTGGACTATTTGATTGGCAAGGATTTCTTTTATGTTGGTGTGATGTCTACACCGGCCTCTCTTGTTGGGGGCCTGGGTTTGGTGACATGGTTGGGAAGCCCTCCCTGTCTCATGGGTGCTGACGGGTTCCGACATCTGCAATGCATAGGGAATTTTGCCCTGGGGAAAATGAAAGGCACAACTTCATTGTTTTCTGGATTTCTACCCAACTGCCCATCACCATTTATCGGATTGTCCATCTTTCCTCCACTGACCCAAGATGCTATCTCTGTCATGCACGAACTCCCAAGTATTTTGCTCTATTTTTGGACCTTGTCCAGTTCCTTTGCTCTGTCCTCTTACTTGCCACAACTCTGCGGTGTCACTATGGCAACTCTGTAACACGCTTTGAGTTGATGGGCTCATTCTTGATGAGTTTTCTTCCTTTTAGAATTTTCCTGGTTGTTTTTCCACGTGAACTTCGGCATCAGCCCATCTTGCTGCACAAAGGCCTCTGCACTGCTGTTGAGTTTGTGCCTTTTATGGATGACGACATAGGGAACGTTGGCCGCTTTCTATGCTCAGTCTCTGTGTCCGGAATTGCAGGCCACCCTTCTGTGCATCCGTGGCTCCTTTTGTGCCCTGGGCAGTGCCTCAAAGTTTTCTTCACGAGGATCTGGTGTTGCGGGTCTCCCGGGAGGTGGAAGGAAGCAGCTGCCCCTCCCAGGGCCCCTGTGCCAACCTGTTCCCCAGGGGCTCCCATGGGGCCAGCAGGAGGAAGTCAGACTCCCCCTGTGGTCACGCTGGCCCAATGGCTGGCTCTGGGGGGCAGGGGGTCTCGTCTTCTCCCCTCGTCCTGCGTCTGGACCCTGAGCTGACACGGAGCCTTTTCTTTTCCAGGCTGGAGAGATGTGACTTGAACGTGGTGGAGCTGCTGAGACAAGCCTCTGGCTGGGTGTTTGAGAATCCCGGTGAGGGTGGCGGCCATGGTCTTGTCCAGGGCAGCGTGGGGACAGGCTCCTTTTCCCTGACCATCACTGGGGTGCCCTGGGCCCTCTTCCTGTCTGTCTCCTGCAGCATCCTCAGGTCCTGCAGGCAGGGCCCATGCTTCTGGCAGGGGCAGGGGTGACGCAGTCCTCACCAGCCCCCGTGGGCGCTTCTGTCCCAGCGCTGGGCGTGGTGGAGTTCCGGGTGCTGAGCACCAACTTCAGGGACTACGCCGTCGTCTTCACCCAGCTGGAGTTCGCTGATGAGGCCTTCAGCACCGTGGAGCTCTACAGTAAGTGGGCCTGGAGGCCAGGGCTGCTGCCACGCCATGCTGCGGGCGCTGTGCTCCGAAGGCCTGGGCTAGAGAGGGGCCCAGGGTCAGGGGCTCCTGGCCTCGGAGGGGCTGGCAGCGGTAGTGGGGAGGGGTGATGCGGCTGGCCCGGTGCCCCCTGCAGTGAGATGGCAGCCTCACCCTGCTCCTCATGCCCACGGGCCTCATCCCTGCACGGTGGCGAAGTGAGGCCCTCATGCCTCCCTCCTCCTCTCCCGCCCCTGCACTTGCCCTTCTGCAGGGGGCACAGCCCCTCATGGCAGGGAGGGACCAGGCACTCGATGCCGGCTGGGGATGGAGGGGTGGCGCGTGAAGGGCCTTGGGGTCAGAGGAGGACAGAACCCCTGGATGGCTCGAGTCCTGCGGTAGACCCGGCCCCTCCTGGCCCCAGGCCCGGCTCTCAGAGGACACCCCCCGCAGGTCGGTCGGAGCTGGCCAGCCAGGAGGCTGTGCACCTCTTCGCCAAGTGGAGCAAGGGCCTGGGCTTCCTGTCACAGCAGCAGGCCCAGCTGCAGAGGGACCGTGAGTGCCTGCCCGGGGCCCCCACCGTCCGAACATTTGTTGACTCCTGCTGGTCTCAGGGACCTCCTGGCCTCAGGGAGTCAGGCAGGACTTGGGGCGGGGGTCTTCAAGGAGGGACCTGTCCCCTGCCCAAAATCAGACCTGCAGGGATGCCCCTTCTCAGATGAGGCTGTGGGCGGGACTGGCAGGCCTGCTGCAGGAGAGCCCCGCCCGGTCCTCACAGCCGTCTCACTTCCCCCCAGTCACCTGTGCGCACAAGGCCTTCCAGGTAAGCTTCCTCCCGATGGCGGCCCCGGGACCCCTGCAGGGCAGCCCTTCCCAGTGGCAGTGCTCCACTGCCAGGAAGGATCGGGGGCGGGGTGCATCTATGGGCGAGTCCGGGTCCCCCAATGCTTTTCTTGGTTTTCAGTGAATGCTGTGGCTCCCCGGGCATGGTGCCTGCCTTGTCCGGGTGGAGGCTGGCCAGGGCCTGCCCTCCTCACCCGGCCGCCGGGTGCTGGGCCTCAGGCTGGCTGTTCCCAGGGGCTCTCGCTGTGGATCCCAATAAAGCCATTCCACAAACCAGCCCGATGCCTCTTGCTCGCGTGCTGGGGGGGACCTGTGCAGGGCTGATGGGGGCTGGACGGGGAGCTGCCTTCTCGGGGCTCCGGCAGGCGCAGGGAGAAGAGAAGAGGACGGGTGGGATGGGCTCACCAAGGGCTGAGCTACAGAGCATAGAGCCAGCTCCGGCACGAGAGGGCTGCACCTGTGTCCCTCACCAGAGTCCCCCTGGGTGCGGTTTGGGCTGGGTGCTGGGCTGAGGAAGCTGGGACTGATGCCCACCAGGGCGCTTGGCTTGGGTGTGCTGTGTCCATGGCACAAGAGTTTGGGGCCCTGGCCTGGGGCTCTGGGCCAGGAGCAGGGTCCAGGACCCCAGAAGGCCTGAGCCTATCGCTCTCCTGTGCTCTGTGGGGTCGGGGGCGGGGGTGGCTGGTCTGATGTCCTGGCAGAAGCACGGGCTGCGGGGGAAGCTGGGCTGGAAGCAGGGTGAGGGGCTGCCCACTGCTCATGGTGAGCTGTACACAGGGTTGCCTCATCCTTCAAGGTGGGACAGGTACACCCACGTGTGAACATACACACACATGTGCACATGCACACACACAACCAGCCCGGGCCCCTCTGTGGCTGCCAGCTCAGGGCATTTAAGAGGTAGCCCCTATGTCGGGGCAGCCCTGTCTGAGCCCCATCTTCACGGTGGTCATGCTTTCCTGGTGCAAATCTCCGCATGCAGTGACTCAGTAACTCCTCCCGGCCGTCTGCCTCTCTCCTGGGGGGCCAGGATGGGAGGCCCAGGGGCGAGACGGCTCCAGGGGAGTGACCTCGGGAACATGATAGCTTCCGTCTTCAGGGGCCTCCTAGGCAGGCGGCACCCACTGGCGGCTGTGCTGCCCTGAGGGCTGAGTGCTCAGGCCGGCCCTCTGTGTCTGGGGAGGGGAGGGCCCAAAGCCCCCTCCCTCCCCATCGGCCCACCCCAGGCTGGCCTGAGACTCCGGGTTGGCCCGATGCCACGGCTGGGCCAGGTGGGCAGGGAGATTTAAACGCAGCATTGGGGCAGCTGAGGGAGGAGGGTGAGGATGGGGCCGGGGTGGCTGCTGCCCGTGCTGGCCCTGGCACTGGTGCTGGCTGTGGGGTCCCAGCCGCAGGAGCAGATCCCCAGGGAGGCCCACAACCTCAACTGGAGTAAGGTAAGCTGCGTGCCCATGGTCCCTGAGCCAGGTGCCCTGGCCACAAGGGCCAGGGATGCGGTGGGGGAGCAGCTGGATCACTTCCTGGAAACCTTCAGAGGGCATCCTGAAACAGTGTGCAGCGCCCGAGGCTGGCGGGAGGTTCAGGCATGGGCTTCTGCTGGCCCAGCGGGGCAGCCCACCTGGGTTCTCCCTGAGGGGCTGACAGTAGGGCCTGCAAAACTCAACTGACAACCACGGACCACACTGAACAGGAGCCCTGAGGAGGGGGCAGGGCAGAGGGCCCCAGACAGGTGCTGGCTGAGGTCGCCTGGAGATACCAGGTGGGCAGAGGGGAGGTGGAACGAGCAGAGCATGTTCTGGAATAACGAGACCACTGCCTGGGTGGACTGTTCCGGTGGGGTCGGCCGTGGGCGCAGGCTGAGCGGACTGTGGGAGCGTGGGTTTGCGGCAGGAACAGTCAGTGGGCAGGGTGCAGGGGCGAGCTGGAAGGACGGGCCCCCAGGAGGACCACGCGAGAAGCCAGCTCCCACGCGATGCCCACGGCCCAGCCCTGTGCTGCCTCAGGCCGGACCAGCTGGGCACCTGCCCTCCACGGCCTGGGATGGGCAGCCGTGGACTCTGGAGGTGGGCTGGGCCTCAGGCAAGTGTCACTCATCCCGTGAGTTCTGAGGTCCTGTCTGGGCCCCGGGGAGCACGGCAGCACCCAGGGTGGCAGCTCCTACCTCTGTGCTTCCCCCGCCCTCTGCAGTTTGCAGGGTTCTGGTACATTCTTGCCATCGCCTCTAATGCCCCAGGATTCTTGCCGAGCAGAGACAAGAGGAAGCTGGGGGCGTGCATGGTGAGGGTTCACAAAACGGGCCAGCTGAAGGTGGTCCTCGCCTTCAACCGGTGAGTGCACGAGGGCGGGGTCCTGGCACACCCTTCGCAGACCCCTGGCTGCATCTCCCCTTCCCCAGGTGAGGGGCAGCCAGACCCGTGGTGGGTCTGGAAATCCCACAGGGATCCCCACAGCCAGACCCCCATCACTTCCTGCCCCTAAAGTCCAGAGGGCTGCATGGGAGAGGCCTCTGCAGCCACGGGCACTCGGCAGGCAGGGGTGTTTGGAGCGTTTCCCATACGCCGTGGGACCCCACTTCCCCCAGTCTATGCTGGAAAATTCCAGAACAACTGAGCCAAGAAGGGGCTCGCTGGCCGCGAGCTCTCAGCACCCCTGCCCTGCAGGTCGCAGGGGTGCCAGTCCCACACGTTACTTCTGCGGAAAGACAGGAAGAAGGCCGTGTTCAGGAACACCCGTACGTCTGATGGCCTGGCCCGAAGGAAGACCTGGGGTGGGAGAGTCCTGGCTGTGGCCACCTAGACACTGGACGTGATGCCCCTGACCGACTGCCCCCAGCTGCCCCTCTGCCCCCGAGAAGGTGGGTGGGCGGGACAGACACCGAAGCACAAGGTGGCCAGGCTGGCTGTGGTCCCCAGGCCTCGCCTTCCCAGAGCCACATGGCGCGCGTGCGCCCAGGCTGGGCCTGGAGAGAGAGATCAGGGTGGCTCTGCGACCCCTTCCAGACCCCCACTGGGTGTTGGGCACTTGGGTGGGCGGTCCAGGTGTGAGTGGCGGCTCTGTGCCCTGTGCCCCTGCAGTGAAGGGTGTGGAGGGCTTCCGCGTGCTGTGCACCGACTACAGCTCCGGCCTCGTGCACCTGCGCCTGGGCCGGGCCGGCCGCTCCTCCAAAACCCTGCTGCTCTTCAGTGAGTCCGGCTGCCCCCAGCCCCCGGCCTGGGCCTCCTGGGCTGCGAGTGCGGAGGGTGCGGGCAGGGAGGGGCACCGAGGGGGACAGAGGGGGACCGAGGAGGGTGGAGCTCAGAGGTGAGGACATTGGCAAGAGGGAGACCTCTGCCCAGGCAGCTTGGCACCATCACAGATCAGCACAGACCAGGTGCTTCCACGTGGACACACGGTCCTAGCAGCTCAGGGTCCAGCACGCTGTGGGCCTGGCGGGGACCCTCTGCCTGCTTTGCAGACGGCCGCCTTCTCGCTGTGCTCGTGTGCCCGGGGAGAGAGTTCTGGTCTCCTTCTTCCCCCAGGGGCACCAGTCTCATCACGAGGACCCCACACTCACGACCCTGTCTGACCCTAATTACCTCCCAAGGCCCCACCTCCTGACCCCATCACACAGGGCTTCAACATGCAGTCCACAGGGGTCAGTCACAGCCCAGGAGGTGCAGGCTGCAGCAGGGGTGACGTGGGGCTGGGTTGGGGTGGGTGGGTAGAGCATGGGGCCCTGGACATCGGGACCACCCAGGCAGGTCTCAGAGGTGACCACAGCACGGTGAGTGGGGGAGGCCATTGGCCACTGCAAAGGGGGCAGTCAGAAAGCAAAAGTAGCCGCCCCCCACAGGCTGACAGTGGGAGGAGGGGAGGAGAGGCAGTGGTGACAGCAAAGGCTGGATGTGGAGCCCTGAGGATGTTTTGCCTGGGGGTGGGCTGGGTGGTGTGGAAGTGACCGGGGTCGGGGAGGGGCATGACCCCACTTCCAGGCACCCCAGTGGGTGGGATGAGCAGCCCTGTTGGAGAAAGTGGGAAATGCCCCCTGAGGCTGTGGGCTGTGGGGTCCGGTGCAGCCCCAAATGGCTGGACCTGGAAACTCTGACGTGACTCTGCTTTCCAACCGCAGGCAGACAGACCACATCCAGCTTCCCAAGTATGAAAAAATTCGTAGACACGTGTGAGATGTTGGAGCTCTCAAAGAGTGCGACCATTCTCCCGAAAGACGGTAAATACAGTTGCAAGGCTCTGGGTCCAGGACAACAGCGTCCTGGCCCCACCTGCCCATCCCACTAGAGAGCTGGCTCACATGGGGAAGGAGAGATGAGAGGATGACAGCGCCACCTTTTTAAAGATCTGAAGCCAACTGTGAAGGCATGCCTGCATGTGCGTCCCCATGCCCGCCTCCTGGTCCTCTACCAGCATCAGCTTGTCACCCCGGCAGGCCCTGCACAGGGAGCGAGAGGCGGTGCCCAGGGCACAGATGCTCTGTCTGATCGGGTCTCTGAGGCTGTGGCTAGAGGACCAGGGGCTGCGTGGCTCTGCCCTCTGCGGTGCCCAAGACTAGCATTTATGAAACGAGGGCGAGCCAGCACGTGTCACGGGCAGAGGTGGGCTCCCTGAGAGCGGCCCCAGCCCTCTCATCGCCTCTCTCCTCTCCCACAGCCTCCTGTGCGCACACCATTCTGCCGTGAGAGGGAGCCGCCCGCCTGCTCTTTCCTTCGGGGCTTGACTTGCGGTCCCCCTAGACACCTGGAGTGTTGTTCCAGGTTGCAGGTCTCATATCCAGCTGCTTGTTGAGAAGCCTTTGGTGACCCCAAGGCCTTGAAGGTCTGGAACCCAGGGCCACGGCTCTAGCCCAAAAGGAATCTTTCATGATCATCGAGCTGACTGGGCAAGAAGATGCCAAGCCAGACCCCTTCTTCCTGTGTCCTCCAGACCACATGGCAGAAAGATGCTGCTGTCCCCCATCTGCTGTGAAATAGACCACGGTCTGGTCCAGTGTCATCCTTGCCATGTGCCTTCTCTGTAGAGTCTATGCCACCGTTCTCTGTGTCCTTGACATCCTACACTTCCTCAGGAAGCCGTTCACTTCTTGACCAAACATTTCCAAGCACTTATCATGTGCCAGGCATGGTGCTGGCTGCTGGGGGAGAGCAGGGAGCAAATCTGCACAGTCCCCGCAGAACCGATGCCTTATCAGGAGAGGCGGACGCTGTGCAGACACCCAGGCACACGAGGACAGACTCAGAGAAACAGATCTGGAGGCAACAAGTGCAGAACAAGGGCAGGGCTGACTCTCTCCAGGTGAGGGAGGAGGGGTCAGGGAGAGCTTCTTGGAGGAAGCGGCATTTGAGCTGAGAAACGGAGAGTGGTGGGAGTTAAGTAAGTTATGGTGGGGCTGGGGGAGCAGGACATCCCCGGAAGAGGAAACTACCTTTGAACCCCAGAGTGTTGGAGACGGAGGGAAGCACGTGGACTCAGGGGCCATGCGGAAGGGCGACGTCATGGTGGGAAAGGCAGGCGAGAGAGGTGGTTCAGTCCCAGGAGAGGGAACCCCAGAAGAGCAGGGCTGGGGCTGAGGTTGGAGGAGCTCCAGGGCCCCCTGTTGGAGTGTCTTGTAGGAGCTGGAGTTCAGAGCGGGGATCTAGGTGGCAGAGAGACACTCTGGAGTCCCTGATCTGTATTTGGTAATGGACGTCACAGCACGGATGAGATCATCTAAGGAGAAAATAACAGGATGGAATCAGTCAGCCACAACCGTGTAACAGACAACCCCAAAGCCTCTGAGCCATAAAGCAACACAAGGTCACGTAGCTCGCCCATCTGGGTGTCAGCTTGGGACCGGCTGATGTTGGTGGGTCTCTGTTGGGCGGCTCTGCCGATCTCCGCTGGGTTTGCTCTTGCAGTTTGGGTTGGCAGGAGGTGGGTTGGTTGGGACTGGCTCATCAGAGGTGGCTCTGCTCCACACGTCCCTCATCCTTTACCCGGTGGGCTAACCAAGACATGTTCATCTCACAGCAATGATGAAGGCACAGCAGGTCAGGAAAAACTCGAGTCCTTTAAAGACTCAGAACAGGCACACTGTCATTTTCGCCTCGTCTCTGAGTCAAGTCACAGTGCCAAACCCAAAGGCAGGAGGCCGGGAGATGCACTTCGCTTCTCCAGTGGGAAGCCCTCGGCTAAGGGCGCGGGTGCAGGAAGGGGGGACGGGCCAGCCCCCACGCACAGTCTGCACCAGCTCTCACTCTCGGCCACAATCCTTCAAGCCACCTCTGCGGGTCGTGTCTTCACCCCACCTTCCGTCTCAGCTCCCCCAAGCCTCCTCAGATCAGGGCAGCGGGCTTGAATCTGGGGGCCTGGGGTCTACATCCTTCAGCGGCTCCTCTAGATTGCACGCCTTTGAACTAAATGCGAAGTCATCGGACTCCCACATGCTCACCCCCCACGGTGGGACAGAGAGCGAATGACTTCGACACGCCCTGCATGAGAAAGAAGAATGGGGGACACAGCAGCCGCGGCCCATGGCAGTTCTGCAGTCCCGCTGGGACAACACTGCCGGGTCTCGTTACTCTGGGGGTGGGGTGTTCCCAGAAGTTTATGTTGGGGTCATGGTCCATTGACCTCTTGGCTCTGTCCTCTGAGACCCCCTTCCTTTCCCACGTGCCCCTCACTCGCTCTGGCCACCACTGAAGGAGGTGCTGGGACCTGCACCTGATCCCTTGTGGAAATCAGAGCCTTTCTCCTCTTTGCACCACCCAGTCACCGCTTTTGCCAACACAGCTCTTTCAAGTGCTTTGTGGGTTTTCGATGTACCTGGTTCTGATTTACTCCAGGTGCCAAAAGCCACATCCACAGTTCCTTAGGAAACTGCCTCTTTCTCCAGATTTGATTATGAGAGTTTTGGGGTCACGAGCTTGCTGACCGACTGTGTCTCAAGCAGCCTAGAACCCTCTGGGACAGCCCGAAAATCTACTTGGCACACCTTAAATCTTTCAGAGGTCCTGACCGTTGACTTGCAGAGCCCCAAAATGAATTCATTTGGGAACAGCCAAAAGAATTGCAATTCAGATACGCAAACTACCGTGAGCCATAAGCAAATCTGGAGAACACGGGAGGGAACTGCGTTTATAGAGAAAAGGGGCAGAGGGCGGGGCTGCTCTAAAGGAAAGTCTGCTGGGGAGAGGATCAGACCAGGGCAGCAACAGCTTCTCATTGGCTGGGCCGCAGGGTTTCTGATTGGCTAGGCTGTGCTATTTCTTATTGGCTGGGCTGCAGTGCTTCTGATTGGCTGGGCTGTGGCATTTCTGATTGGCTGGGCTGCAGCGTTTCTGATTGGCTGGGCTATGGCATTTCTGATTGGCTGGGCTGCAGTGTTTCTGATTGGCTGGGCTGTTGCCACATGGTAGAGAAGTCTTCCCTCAGAGGGAAAGTGGTTGTACTTCCTGTTTGGAGTAATTGACCAGCCACCGATGGGGGGAGGGCTCCCCCTGCAAGCCCTCCCTACCCAGTTTAGTTAAGGTTTCTTTATTAATTTCCGCACGACAAAACATGTCACATGACACCCTGATTCAGTTTGTCCCCAAGACCAGGTCTGGCTGCAGCACCTGCATTTGGTTTTGTTCCATCTGTGTTTTAATGGCCATGTCTCAGGTTTGATCCCAGGGCAGCCTCAGCCCTCCCATGGGGTTTGCTTTGGGAATCACGGTGCCTAAGATCCTGCTGGGCCCCTGCTCACCCCCTGCCATGTGGGGCTCTTTCCTCTGGGCATCCCCAGGTGGGCACACTCACACACTTACACACACACACACACACACACACTCTGACTGCCCTGCTGGGGGTCAGAAGGGTAGCCTACCCTGGGGAAGTGATGGGGGAAAGAAGAAAGGGGTGGAGGCGGCTCTGCCATGGGGTGGGAGCATCCAGTCCCCTAGCCACACGCAGCGCCCATAGCATGGGGAGGGGGAGAGATGCCAGGCTGGTGGGCAGGGGGTCCCCAAGGTGCCCAGGGGGCTGCCTGGGCCAGGCCACCCCCAGAGCAGCCTGCAGAGGACAAGGTCCGGGGTCTTGTGTCCACCACTCTGGGCGCCTGGCAGTGGGAGGTAAGCCCCTTAGTGTTTGTGTGTGTGTGTGTGGGGGACTTCAGGAGAGAAGCCCTCCGCTCACTCCTCTGTAAACTGAGGTGCATAGAAGGGGTGACCCCAAGCGTCCCACGGGCTCGTAGAAGGCTCTGGTGACCTTAGTGCTCACCCATGACCCATGTGCTCCGAGTCCTTGGAAAATGCTTTCTACTCCCTGGAGGTCCTTCTGAGCAGAGGGCAGCCAGCCTGGAGGCTTGGGGGCTTGGGACCTGGGTAGTGCAGAACGTGGCAGAGCACTGGGCCACTTGTCCAGGGACCAGGGACAAGGCCGTCCTTGGAGCCTCGGGGTCCTCATTTGGAAGTGGCGCGGAGTCATTGCCCTGGCTGGGCTGAGGAGGCCTCATGAGTGAACTGGACACGCCAGGCTCAGTGGAGGGAAAGATGGGACAAGGGAGGCTTCCGAGGTCCTGCACGTGGCCCCTGGAGCCTGTAGGTCCTGCCCCTTTGCCCCTGGGCCCTGGTGGATCCAGTGCCTAGACTACACCCAAACAAAGGTGTGTGTTCTGTTTTCTGGTTTCCGGTCCGGGGCTGCAGTGCTGGGGCTGACCACCAGGGGGCGGGCTGTGCCTGCTGTGCTCATGGAGCAACCTGATCAGGGAAGGGACACCCAGGGGTCAATCTGGCCTCCCCCCTCCTCAACCCCGCAGGCACCTTCTATCGTGGGCATCCTTGTCCACAATGTGAGCTGCTCAGAGGCGGGAGGGGGCTCTGAGATCCTCTCCTTATTCTTGCAGCTACTTTGCCCCCAGCACTCACCCTGAGCAGGGCCGTGTTGGGCCTGGAGGTGGACGGCACCCACATGGTCCCTGCTCTCCAGGAGCTCACAGCCTGGAAGAGAAAGGGACAAAGCGTGAAAGCAAATCCACACGAAAGAGAAGAGCAGGGACTACAGGGAAATGAAGCAGGTGCTGGAGGGAGGGCCGGGAGCCCCTAGGTGGATCCAAAAGGCCTCTGTGGGGACATTTGTTCTGGGACCGGAAGGACAAGAGGAGCCAGCCTTGCATCCATCTGTGGGTGGTGTGCCGGGTGGGGGGCTCAAAAGTACAGAGACTCGGAGGCAGGAGAGAACTTGGCCAGAGGGGAGGTGAGAAAGGAGCCAGTGTGGCTGGAGAGAGCTGAGGAGGGCAGGAGGCAGAGAGGGAGGTGGGTGGGAGCAGAGGAGGGAGGAGAGATGGGAGGGAGGAGGGCAGGGCCAGACCTCAGCCTGGAAGGAGGAAGTTGTTGTCACACTGTGTGACAGCACTGCCCTAACTTAGTGCTTACAAGAACATTGACCATCTCACAGCTTCTGTACCAGGATCCAGGCTCCTCAGCTGGGAGCCCCTGCCTCAAGGTCTCCCAGGAGCCTGAGGCTGTGGTCTCAACTGAGGCTCAACTGGGGCGGGGTCTGCCTCTGAGATCATTCACGGGGCATTGGCAGGATTCCATTTGGATGGGGGGGAGTCCCAGATCTTTACCGTCTGTGGGTAGTGACCTTCTGTCAGTTCTTTGAGCTGGGGCCTCATAGGGCAGCTCATAATATCTGATCTTGCTTCTCCAGAACAGTGGATCCCAGAGACAGAGAGAGAGAGACAGATAGACAGAGACAGAGAGGAGATGCAGAGAGAGTCAGAAAGAGAGACTCACAGAGTGCTGGGAGCCACTGTGGGGGCTGCCCCCCACCTAGGCCGAGATGAGCACTTGGACCTGAGTCTAAACAGAATAGGAGGAGCCGGGAGGTTGTATGCTGGGGGGACG